CCCTGCCCCTGCGTCATATCAAATACAAACTACTTAGCTTTCAAGGTCATCATTTTCTATCCCAACCTCAACTAATTTCCTTCCTTTTATCATATCATGCTCAAGTGACTAGTAGTCACTTTCGGTAACTTGTGTTTGGTACCTATGTTCGACCTACAGGTTTTGATCAAATACGGTAGTTGTGAAATCACCTTAATAAGTGATAACCAATTTTTATTTTCTGAATCATCTTTTTTTTTTCCATTTTCACCAACAGGACAAAAAATATCCAATTACATCTAGCATGAAAAGGTGTTGCTGTCATCGAAACTTTTTGTTTTACACGCACATTCACATATTAGGTAACTATGTGGCATGCATTTCCTACTGTGTCCTGATTAAAAAAAAAAATTTAACTTAAGTCGTGATTCCCCACATATCCTTGGCTTCTCATCTCTAAGTCTTTGCTTTTGCTAAAACTCAGGCTGGGGGCCTCCCTGGTGAAGCAGGGGTTAAAGTCTCAGCACTATAAAGCTATCAGCAGCCAAGGAGCTAACCCACCTGGCTCAGCAGACCTCTCCTGTCTCACCTGCTGCTCCCCTCAGCAGTGTTTTTCAGTGGATCTGCCTGTTCTGTTCCCCACTTTATCTCTGGTGAATCCTCTCACCCCCTGCACCTCTAGCCTACACCCCAGTCCTTGTATGCATAAATAAAAACATATCTTTTAAAAATATATAAAACTGAGGTTGGAATGCCTTCCTTCTAATTATTTCTGCAGTAAGAATCCTATTCATCCCTTCAAAGACTAGCACTTTGCCCCTTCATGCTACTAAATGCAGTCCCAGGTTTTCCCCTAGTAAAATGTTTTTTCCTACTTTTTAACTTTAGTAACATTCAGGATTTTTCTTCTACATTCATGATCTTAGTGCAGTTATCTGGGACCAAAACCAGCTCCCCTATTAGAATAAAAATCCCAAAGGATGTATTCTTGACTATATCTAACAATGCTTTTGCATATATGAATAATGTACATTATCTGTCATATAAAGAAAATTCATGCCATCGTTGTCTGAAATCTGTTGTAAATCAACATTATAATTTCTACTGTATTCCAAACGTCTGTTAACTCTTATGCTTGAAAGTTTTATCATTTTCCTCCCCAAAATAGCCATTTCAAATAATCCTCTATATTCAATCCTCTCTTACTACCTCTAAACATGATCTGCCATATAGCAATATCTTTCTCTTCTTTCAGAATCAAACTCTCTATTGGTTAACAAATTTCCTTCTGCATCTGCTCACCTCCCACTTCAGTCTAGTTCTCTAACATTCTTTATTTTTTTTTTTTTTTATTTATTTGTTTGTTTGTTTTGTTTATACATGCACTGGGTACAGTCAGAAGCGCGGGAGGGTGAGAGAATTCACCAGAGCCAGAGCGGGGAGCAGAGCAGGCAGAAGGAGCGAAGTACACTGCTGAGGGGAGCAGCGGGCGGCAGGAGAGGTCTGTGCGCCATGTGGGACCCTCCTCCGGTGGCCAGGGAGCAGCCGGGGATCGAACCAGCGCCACAGAGGCCACGGGCAGCTTCGCAACCCAGCGCTCAACCGCCGCGCCACCGGGGAGGCCCTCTAACATTCTTTAAACAAATATTTTTCTACATATTCGAGTAGACTTCCTCAGTTATCTCATTTTTATCGAACATATCTTTGTCAGTGCCATTAAAATCTTTGTAGAAAAAGCAGGTTATGAATAAATGGACAAAAAAAATATAGATAATTTAGGTATTTTCTTATTCATTCATTTATTCAACAGGCAGTGTCTACTGGAAATATGCCCTCAATGCTCTGTCTATTATATTCTGTAATTCAAAAAGCAGCTTTGAGAAAAGCATGCAGGAAAATGCCAGGATAACAGAGCCAAGTTGACTCATGCTCTTCACTCACAGAGACGAAGTAATCTGTGGGGTACAGGCTCAAAAAAGGAAAAACTAAAAGTTACACTAGATAAAGATGGAAACAGACCCCTGCAGTTGTTCAAGGGGGCTCAAAATGTACCCAACAAAGGTGAATTTGAAAAGGAAGAAACAAGAGTAGCTGAAATGAAATAGGCAGAAAGCTGTCAGACAAAAATAGACCCAGACTCTAGATTCATTCTAGAGCTACAAGAGAAATTTGGAGCAATATAGTTCCTCTCCTGAGATTCCCTAAGGAATCCTTTCAAAAATCTAGCTACAGTATGGTACTTAAATACTTTGCCTAAACCTTAGCCAATATTCATTTCTCTATTCTCTGAACTCCTACAACTGTAAAATGTAATGTAATTGTTAACAAACATATCCAGAATTTATTTACGCATTAAAATTAATCTGATCCTCTTCAAAATAGTTATCTTAGCATTTTATAGATCCAACCAGCTGGATGTTTTTAACCAACATTCATAGTATGCCTAATCAGAGAGGAAACTATCACCTCTGTTCAAAGTATTTCCAATTCCGTCGATGGAAAGTGTTTTCCAGTCAGTAAATACATCAAGCAAGAAAAATCATTTCCATTTCTGTGACTCAATTAATATAAACCAAAACAATTCTCCATTTATTCTCAATGATAGTGAAAGATCTTCAGCATTTCTAAAAATCACATCTTTCAAACTAAAATGATTTGTCACCAATGAAACTACTTAGAATAACTTTCTGCCTTATATAATTTATAAATATTCCGTTCTGGAGGAATTATAAACTCCTAAAGGATAGGGACCATGTTTTACTTACCCTGATAGGCTCCCTCCCCTAATAGTACACAACAGCTCTTTAATAATTAGATATGATGGAGGACAAGAATAGAAAGACTAGAAAGGAGGTGCCCCAAGACCAGAACCTGACACACAAGGAGGTGGGGGTAGAGGGGTGACCATTAACCTAGCTGTAGAGGTCGTGACCCTTAGGCACCAGTACCTTGTCATAGTCCTTCTATTCTTGTCTTCCATCAGACAGACTGTATTTAATGTGCCAGAAGTTTAGAAGGTAATTCAGAACAGGTGTTCCTAAAAAGTTCTGAACAGGGCCTCCCTGGTGGCACGAGGGGGGGGGAGGTAGGTGGGGTTGGGGCTCAGCACTGTGAAGCTATATGCAGCCACTACAGCACCACGAGTTGGATCCCGGAGTTCAATGCCTGGCCAGGGAGCCAGCCCCACATGGCACAGCAGACCTCTGTCTAGCCTGCTGCTCCCCTCAGCAGTGTATTTCAGTTGATCAGCCTATTCTGTTCTCCACTCTGTCTCTGGTGAATCCTCACACACACACACACACACACACACCTCTGGCCTGCACCCCAGTTCTTGTACGCATAAAATAAATACATCTTTTTAAAAAAAAAAAAAAGTTCTGAACATTACCACTGAAAATAACTATCAAAATTCTTACCTAATATTTATTTTTAAAAATCAATTCTCTTAAATCTTGCCATTACTGAATTACTTCACAACTATCCTTTTCCCCCACAAAAGAATGTAAATACTATAAATTCCCTGAGGGAAGAAGCTTCATCTAAGCACTTTTATTATCCTAAAAGTAATTAAATCAAGTCAAACTGATTCTTACAACAGCTAAAAGTCTCTAAGCAGTCACTTAGGCTGAGGTAAGAAAAACCCAAATTAAACCAGGTACCAGCTCTGACCAGACCAGATCAGATTTACTCAGATTAAATAGCCTCAGAATAGAAAAGAACTTTGGTCCCACCCTTTGGTATTTTTTTTTGGATTATTACAAGCCCATTCTAATCTATTTTGCCTCTTCCCTTTCATCTAAGTCTTCCCTTCCCAGCCACTCTCTCAAATAAGTAGATACACATAATTTTGTCTACTATGCCCCGTAGTATTTCACACAGTTCCACTATCATCACTAACAGTGAATATTACTTTCTATCAATCATTCAACACGTATTTATTAAGCACTTAAGAATTAAGCTGTGCTGAGTTTCTCCAGAGATTAAAGAAAGTCTCAGGTCTAGAGCAGGTTACAATCTAGCTACCATTTGGAAAACAAAGAGAGGATAATTCCCATAAGCAATACAAGATTTAGCAATACACAACCTACTTGTGAATGCTGTTCTTATTCAAAGAAAAGAAGATTCTCAAGAGGCAGGATTATTTAAAGACTTCCAAAAGAACAGAGTATTTCTTTCTGTTCTCTCAACATCCATTATACCGTTGCACCTCACACACAAATTCCAAAAACACCAACAATTTATGAAACTATCCTACTATATGAACATACTTTTCCCACCATAGTTCTATGACTTCAGCAAGCTAATTTCCTTATAACTGCCAAAAATTTTTGTCTTACCACTGTCATTTAAACCTCGTTCGCATCAACTATATCCAAATGGCCTCAAAATTCTTTACCTTCCCTTCTGCCTCCCACAAAATTATCAGCACCTTCATCACACCCTGGCCCCCTCAGCCTCTTCTTCCTCTTGTGACATTTCTCCATCTCTCCCCCTCCCTACTCCACAAAAAAGAAACACAAATCCACGCCACGCCAATCCACTCCTTTCTTAAAATATAATATTTGCTATTAAAACCTGGAAAGAACAATCCAGGATCATTTTATTCTATTCCTGGATTCCTCACACTGAAACTCTTCAGAAGACCGTCATAAAATACTGCACCGTTCACCTGGTAGTTAATTCCAGCATGCACAAATATCACTGTCAAGACACTCTTAATTTCCAACCAGCAACCCTGACAAAGATGTTGCTTCCAACAGCCTAGTCCTTCTTACAGGACTATCTATCAAACTTCCCTTGATCATCTCACTAATTTTAAATGCTTTCTCTACTTCAAGAAGTCCTCCCTAGCTTACACCCTTATTTAATGTAACAAGGAAGACAAAAGATACAGCCAAACTCTGGCTTGTTGGACTCTAAAATCAAGGTTTAACCATATTATTTAAAGATATGAAGACATCAAATTAAAAAAACTAAAATAATAACTATCAAAAGTTAGAAGGAAAGAAAGGGCATAATACCAGTGACACAAGTCCTTTCATTCATAGTAAGAAGTCTTCTGACTCCTTCATAACGTCATTTTGACCAATCAAGATAAAACAGCCCCGGCATATCACCTGGAAACCTAGAAAAAAGCATAAGAACTACAAAAATTAAAGCTTAGACATAGTAACCTCTGGACAATGACACTGCTTAGACAGGTGACACAGAAATTATTGTTTTACATTATAAACACCCTAGGGACAACTTTTTTAAATTGTGTACCTGTATTATTTCATGCTACTTAAAACGAAATGGGAGGGGAAAAAAGGACATACTATATATAAGGTCATTCATCTTCCAAAATTAGAAGAACGGATACTATACAGTCCGAGTGACAGGTAGTAATACTACCCCTCTCCTATCTATGATGTAATGAAAATGGGCACATCATAATATGTAATACATTGATACTCTCAAAAAGAATGAGTAAATCTAAAATTTTTCCAAAAATTTTAAATAATTCTAGATTATTCCTATAAGAAAAATTTTAACTAAAGTTCTAATGCTAATCCTTTAGATATTTACTAAATGAATGACTAATTTTCCCATCCCTCTCCTAAATTTCTTTCCAACTTCCCCACTAATCCCTACACCCTCTATTTCCATAAAAATATTTCTCATACTACCCTCATCTCAAGAACATGGTTCTAGCCCAGAGTTCCCTATTGGAGGTCTAGTCCAGAGTGAGTTCAACAAATCCAACAGGCCTTGCTTCATTTCCTGATACAGAAATGCTAATCTTCCCAATAAGCTGGCTCTAGAAACATCCAGACTCTCCAGGTTCCTCTAGACCTCAAGATAACTGGCCTGACCTCCTCCTAGCAACCAAAGACCAAAACAGGTATTCCAGATCCTCTATTCTGCAGGTCGGCACTTTGTAGGTTGATAAATGTTCTTCAAAACCACCACTAGGCTTTGAGGGAATATAAGGAGCTGTGAATGGCAAAAATTCTCTCACCGGCCCCAGGGTTTTGAAATTGATCAGTCAATTAAACTCATTTGAGCTCCAAATGGAGTCTCCAAAGAAGGACCAATATGCATGGATTTCCCCCCATCATAATTATAAGCCAGTATACTACAGCCCAAGCTGTACAATGGAACAACAATTCTCCTGAACCAGGTAAGTCGGAGAGTGAAGAAGAAAATGTCCAAGTCAAGTGATTTCCACCCAGCACCTGCCAGGACAGTGTTCGCCCAGGCTTGTGCATCAGTGACAAATTTCAAATTTCCTAAAATCGAGACTCGAGGGCCTGGAGAATGCCTGCGGGCCAGAGCTTTTTCTCAGGTCCGTTTCAGAGGTTCTCAGATTCACTGGTGCAGGTCTGAAATGCCTCCGACCAAACTACGGTTTCATTCTCAGCGACCCCAGCCACGGCGGAGACCCACACTTACCAGATGTCATCTACAGACAAGAGTCCACACAGGTTCGGAACTAGGCCATCCCGGCCCATCTGGAATAACTCTTAAGTCCTTGGGCCAACATGGATTCATTCTCCTACATCTGTCTATTCTATTATGCATATTTTTTCCCTCACATTCGCTAGTATTTAGCAACCCCTCTCGCTTCCAGCGCTCTCCTTTCTATTGACGGAAATCCCTTCGATTCCTTCTCGCCTTTGAAACGCTTCCCACAACCAAACAGCTCCTGCTTCTGCACAATGAACACCCCCCGGCACCCTCGCGCCTCCTCCACGGCCGCCCCCGGCGTCCCCCACCGCCCGGCCCGGCTCCCGCGGCCCCCGGCCCGCCCCGCGCCCGCCGCCCCCGCGGGACCCCGGCCCGGCCCGGCCCGGCCCGGCCCTCCTCCGGGCACCGCTCGGGCAGCAGCGGCGGCCGCGGCCTGCGGTGCAGAGCGCGCTGCAGCAGGAGCGGCTGGCAGAGCTCGGCGGCCCCGGCCTCCACACCCACCCCCGCGCCGCGGCCTCCCGCGCCGGCGCCCGCCCCGCCGGCCGCGACGCCCCCCGGGCCCCGGAGGCCGCCCCCCGCCGCCGCCGCCCCCGGCATTATCCCTTCTCAGCCCCAACCCACCATCCGCGCCCCGCTTCCTCCCGTCCCCAGCGGCGCGGCGCGGCGCTCCCCGCGGCCTCGGCCGGCCCCGCGCCGCCCCGGCCGCCCCCGGCCGGCGCCCCCCGGGGTCAGGCCGTTACCGCCGCGCGCGGCCCCCGCGCGCCGCCCCTCCCCCCCCCCCCCGCCGGGCCTGCCAGGCCGAGCGCGTTACCGCGGGCGGGCGCCGAGTCGCGCGGTCACCGACTGCAGGCGGCGGCAGCTTCAACCTTCCTAGGGGCCTGGAGAGGAGGGGAAGGGGGAGGGGGGAGAACTTTTGCTGTGGCAGCTCCAGCAACAGCTCCCACCCCTGCGCCTTTCTCCTCTTCCTCCCCCTCCTCCTCCTCCTCTTCCTCCTTCTCTTCCTCCTCCCAGAGCAGTAGAGATGCAGACATGCCACGGCTAGAGCGCCGCCGCGGTCGCCGCCACTGCCGGCGCAGTGCATTGTGGGAAGCCCCGTAGACGGGAAGCGCTCCGCGGCGCCCGCCCTCTCTGGCCCGGGGACCTGGCTGGGAAGACCCAGCGTGGCTGCGATTCCGGCGCCTGCGTGTCAGGCAGCCCGGCGTGGCGGGGGAGACGGGCCGGGCCTGGGAGGGAAGCCGCTTGAAACTGAGGAACTGAGGAAATGGCTTTCAGAGGGGTCGCCTTAAGTCGTAATGTCTAGCGCCCTCCGAAGAGGAGGACGCTGGTGGGTGGGAGCGTTTCGGGCGCGGGGAAAAAGGGGCGGGGACCTAGGTGAAAGGTGATCGGCCAGAAATTTGGGGCGTTTTCGTTTCTCCTCTTATTAGCCCTTTCCACCCCCCAACACTCAGTCATTGGCCCCTCTGCCACCCCAACTGCTGCCTTTTTGGGAGACAGCAGCCTTGAGTCCTTGAAACTAGTAAGCCCCGTTAGTGTCTGCAAAGTGAGGTGCAGGGCGTGAGCTGAAGATCAGGAGATCGGACACTTGACTGTTGCGCAAGGTCTTACCTGGTATTTCCCCCGCTTACTTCACTTGGGGCCCAGATCTCCATTCGGGGCCCAAATCTTCTGTGTAGCAGGCAGGCTTGGTAATTGCTCGTGGAGAGCTAGCATTGCACAGTTACGTTTCTTCCCTGAAGGCCCTTTCAGTGACCTTAGCCAAATTGTGACCTCCTTAATGGTGTCTTCATTAAACTAACATTTATTAGGCGCCCTGAGGTGCTTGTGCATACTGTGATCGTTTACAATTACTCATCTTTGTGTCCCCACCCTAGCACAAGGTCAGCCCTGTAACATAAAAGATGCTAAGTGAATGTTGAATGATTATGAGCAACAGAAATCGCAGGACAAAACGCTTTTATTACGATTGACTAAAAATTTTACTTAGCATCTTCCTGCAGCGGTTAAACTTAACCTCTGAGAGGAAAGGGAAAGCAAAGGTATTAAAATATGTACATTCACCATTTCTGGAGTTCTCCTTTCTTTATCCACACCCACCTTCTCACCCTTAGCCAAGTGAGCGTTCATTTGAATAGTGCGTTTTGGCCAAACTCCAAACTCCCGCATTGTGCACTTGTGATGGCACTGAATTAGATTAGTGTCTGCAAGGTTAATGTTCCCCCAGGCATTAACCTCAGTAAAATCCTTGATGCCTGTTTAGAAATAGCTGAGGCCCAGAGGTTCAGCTTAATTTAGACACAGGTAACTAAGAAGAGCTAGGATAAGAGTCAGCTCCACCTTCAACTATCCATGTGCTTTCTCCATTAAAAAATATAAATTTTAATAAGATGACAGTGCATATCCTGAATGCTAATTGCAACCAAACAGTGTGATATAAGCTAGAGCAAGGGACAATTATCTGGAGGACTGCCTTCTGGCAACTTCTAGCATCTGCATTGTCATCCAATTCAGATGTTAAAATGAAAAACACCTCTGGCAACAAAGAAGCCTCTCTGACTATTAGGTATGGGAAAATTTAAAAAATGAAAAGGAATAAAGTCCTGTAGATTATACCCAATGGGTAAGATTGATTGGTTTACCATAGGAATAGACTTATTCCTCTGCTCAGCACCTAAGAAAGAACTGTCCACCATGGGCAGGATAAAGAACAGTATAGAGGTAGTGACATAAGTAAGTGATGGTGGGGAGCAACTTTAGGCCTTTTGTAGCTTAAGCTTCTGAAATTACTGTCAATTTGTTACAGGGCAGGGAGAGGGGGAGCCCAAACCCTGCAAACCTGCCTATTCAAATGGGTTCTGCCATCCGCCGCATCAACACAAAACATATGAGACTTGAATGGGAAGGAACTTTAATACAACTAGGAAACAAGACAGGAAAGGCAAAGAATCTAGTTTCTAAATCAAACACCCAAAGTTACCCTCCCCTCGTGGGTAAAACTCCATCCAAATGGGATTGGCCCAGAGAAAGGCCCCAAAGCCTGCCACAAATCTAAGGCATCTTCCAGTGGGGACCCACAGAAAAGGGTCAGAAACAACCAGACAAACCCGGAAGGAAAAGAGCAAAATCAAAATCAAGATAAAAGCTGCTATTGTCACCTCTCCACGGGTCTCACCCATATCTGTGTCACCCCGTCCATGACCAAAAGACAAGCGCAGTTTCTTCACGTGTCTCTAGGCTCCATGCGCCTCCTTCAGGTCTCCTTCTTGCTCTCCATCCTGCTTCCTTCCTTCCTCAGTCTCCTCTTCAGCTTCTCCAGTCCCAGCTCAGCTCCACCCTCCATTTGGGTGGGGCAGGGATCCTGGAACCTCCCCCTTTCCTGGGGACCACCCTCTTACAAATTCAGAACTTATTTAGTTTTTACCATTTTTTTAAACCTGTGTCTGTATGTGTATGCAACTTTATGCCATGTGTAAATTCATGTAATCTCTACTACAATCAAGATATAGAACTATTGCATCACCTCAAAAGAACTCTCTCACTCTGTTTTTGTGTTCACAAATCCACCTCTTTCCATCCTCTACTCTATCCCTGTCTCTTAGTAATCACTATGTATCTGTTCCCTCATATCTATAGTTTTGTCACATCAAGAATATTATATAAATGGAATCAAATAGCATGTAACAACTTTTTGAGATTGATGTTTTAAACCTAAACATAATGTCCTTCAGTTCCATTCAGGATATTGCAGGCATAAAATGTTCATTCCTTTGTATTGCTAAGTATTATTCCATTGCATGGATAAGTTTGCTCATCCTTTTCCCAGATGAGGTACATTTTGGTTGTTTCTAGGGTTAAGTTTTTTGGCTTGCTTTTTTGCTATACTATTATGAATAAAACTACTATGAAAATTTGTGTACAAGATTTTGTGTAAATTTAAGTTTTTTTTCCTCTGTGATAAATGCCTAAAAGTATGATTGATGGCCCATATAGTAAATATATATTTAATTTTATAAAAACTGCCATCTATTTGCAGAGCAGTTGTATCATTTTACTTGCTCACCAACAATGTGTAAGAAAACCAATTTCTCCCCATCCTCACCAATACTGTTATTATTATACTTTTTCATTTGGGCTGTTTTAATAGGTAGGTAGTGATATCTTATTATGGTTCTTTCTCTTTTACAAAGTGATTCTGCTTCCTCAAAACTGACTCCTTCTAGGATACCTGCTATCTAACTCCTACTTTCCTCAGTGTACTTTTTTTAAAACAAGCTCACCAGGCTCCTTTTGTTGAAGGATAGTTTTTCACCTGTGTATAGAAAGAAACAACTCATGGATAAATTATAAAGTTTCTTGAAACGTTAAGTTTATATAGTTTGCCCTTTTTTGACTCCTTTTTGAAATAAAGCAAGGAAATATCTGTTAAATGGGCCTAGAAATTTCTTTTTTTAAGATTTATTTATTTATGCATACCAGAGCTGGGGTGCAGGCCAGAAATGTGGAGGATGAGAGGATTCACCAGAGACAGAGTGGGGAACAGAACAGGCAGACTGACTGAAATACACTGCTGAGGGGAGCAGCGGGTGAGACAGGGTCACCTCCCTGGCCGGGGATCAAACTCATGCTACAGTGGCTGGGGATAGCTTCATAGCGCTGACACTTAACCCCTTGCACCAGCAGTTAGCCCCAAGGGCCTAGAAATTTCTTCTGGAAGATGATATACATTTAAGCTACTGAGGATGCAGTTCATTGGTGGTAAACTTAAATGGCCAACAAAGCCAAGCTGGTAACACAGATAGAAGCAAGCCAGATGTAAGGAGAGCGAAAGGGATTATGAAAAGCTAGAGGGCTCAAGTCAGTGTAATGGATACAGTCATCACTCATTTCCAGCTGCTGATATATCCCACTGGGAATGTGAAGATCAGGAAATCAAGAGAAATCAGGAATCCAAATCCTGGGGTCAATTCTCCCAAATATTATTTTGGAAACTAACCTTGTTTCTTTAAAACATGAAAGTGTGGTTATATGTCTATTTTCTTTATATCAAAAAGATGATGCCAAAAGCAAAGAAGGAATCCCCTGGCCCTCCCAAGTCAAAGCAAAACCAAAATCTTTGAAAACCAAAAATTTAAAAAATCACCCAGGAAGAAGATAGAACACTACACTCTGTGTTCATTATGGATGTCAAGACCAACAAGTACCGGATCAAACAGGCTGTAAAGAAATTTTTTTAAAGATTTATTTATTTATGCATATAAGAACTG